GTGTCTGAGATTGTCGTGAGTCTGCCAAAGAATTCAAGAGCAGTCGTTTTGAAAAACGACAAGTTGATGATGACCTGCAGGATCACGACACCAAAGTCGTTTATTATGAACAAAAAATTGTGCTGCTCATTTAAGTAAACGAGAGTGAGCTGAGAGCTGCATGCCTGAAGGTAATACAAGCATCTCAAGATAGTGCTGAATGGCCCGAAGGTCATCGTCGCACCATTTGGAACCTTCATCACATGGGAATTCAAGGTCAGGACTGATGTTGGCTTTCATAGAATTGAAAACCTGAGCTTTCATCATCATCCTGAGGCTTCCATTGCACGAGTCCATCACTGTCCATATCCCATAGCTAAGGACTTCATCTATCCACTCTTTGACCTCTTCTGAATCTTCTTCATCGAAATCTTCATCTTCCAGTGCATGATGACAGCACAAGAGTCCATCAGGGCCAATGTGCTTCGATCCTGAGACGTGTTTGAGCTTGAAGTCAAATAATAAGATTCCCACAATCCAATGATTAACGGCTGTGTTTGGCTGAATGTCAGGGTTATTGAGCATACCCTTAATATATTTCGCATCAACTTCAATAATGAGATTTTTGATTCCAATAGTCCAAACTTTAGTAGCTTTGAGTGCGCGAAATAAACCGTAAAGTTCGATCTTTGCTTGTGAATAATGAGATTCTCGGTTGTTCCAGATGATCAAGCCAAAATGAGAGGGTCGACGACAATTTTCATTGTCGAGCTGAAGCAGAATCCAACCACAGGCAATATGGGAAGAGTCGATGGTGAGAATGATGGGATTAGGGCTATGGTAGTCAATTGGTCGAATAGCAGGGGAATTGATCACGGCTTGCTTGAGGGTATTCATAGCGGTCTGCACATTTTCATCCCAAACAAAAGGTACAGCATTGTGAGTGAGATTAGTAAGCAGACATGCAATAAGGGCATAATTCTTAATCCAGTTGCAGACCGTGCCTGTGGTGCCTAAAAATCCACGGACTTCAGATCATGTTGCACAGGGAGGCCAGTTCTTGATCTTGATGACTTTTGAGTCATCGGGAATGTGTCCCTCGTAAGTACAGCGCTGGCCGACGACGATAACCTCGGGTACACAAATAAAAAGCTTCTTTGCCAAGACCATGACTCCTGCGTGCTTAAGATGGTGTCAAACTCTATTCATGTCTAAGCAGTGCTCCCAAACAAATCATTGAATGCCAGAATTCTCAGGAATGGTCTCAAAAGTGCCATCTGAGAGCTCATATCTTGTGCGAGAGCCGAGAATGTTAACATTGTCTTGAAAATTTGGTGCAATATCAATTTCGTGTTGAAGGATGAATGCGATGTCGTTTTGGAAGACCACAGGAGAATCTGTCCATCCCATAGGTAGCACAGTGAGTCGAAAAATGCCGAGAGGTGTCTGGAAGGTGGTAAGGTCCCAAGATTCTTCAGCTAAGGCTCGGTAATCAAAGCCAACAAACAGGTCCATCATGGTATAAATCGAGCAACCAGCTGACTGCTCCGCTGTCATGCATGGTATGTGATCCATACCATGACATATACACAACAGCAGTGACAGGGAAGGTAGAAGACACCTGACTGATTCCTATCACCAAGTTACCTTATCATTTTCATTCATTTCTTAGCTAGTATTTTCACTTTCAAACTTCACTCTTATTTTTTCTATGTATTTCTATTTTGTTCCATGAGATTCTATCTCTTCTATTTTCCCAGGCACATTTAGCCACCAGACTTTTCCTCAAGCCACCAAACATGTTAGTAATCATGTCATGTGACTGGGAAATACTCTGATTTGTAAGGATTCAACTTGACTTATCATGTTTGGTCATGATTCGTCATGCTTTGTAAAACTTGCAACTGTATTTGTAATCCACTTTGTCATAAGGCTGATTCAGCACACCTAAGGACTTGGTTTGTAAGCACATTCTTACCAATCCATGTGATGACTCATGCTTTTCATTTTTCATTCTTTGTAATACTACACTTCATTTTGTATGTACATTAGTAAACAAGCTGACTCAACACAAGTTTGTAAGCACATTCTTACCAATCTATGTGATGAATCATGCTTAGTAAGATGGCCTCCCAAAAAGTATATAAGGAGCCCATTTTCACCCATGCAAATTTAAGCTTCCCACTTTAACTCTTTTCTCAAAACTGTGTGAGAACCAGTAAGATCTAAGTGCTGGCCTTTCAGCAGCCTTGAAGTTAAAAATAAGAAACATATATTCAAGTTATATACTACCTTACAGGGGTTGACTATATAACAAAGTACAGCTACCTAGCTAAAGTTTATCAGCACTACTTTCCTCTCTCTTTTTCAGGAAGGGAGACACGAATCACGAGGCACACTTCACGAATCCACGGGCACACACTTGCCAAAACACGTACAAACTTCACACTCACTATTTCAAGACCACAAGGTTTAAACTAACCAAGGAACAAGAAGGAGAATATTGAAAGACATTCCTCCCAAGAACTCAGCACGTTATCTACCATGAAAACTAGAAAAGTCGTAGACCGTGTACTTAAGGACTGGCAAGAAGTCTTATCCTGTATAGTTGTGTTGTCACTATATACGTGTCATATATAAGACCCTTAAGTAACAAGACACCGCGAACAGCTCGATGTAAGGGAGAGTAGCTGCATCCTTGACTGTGACTGCATTAAGGGGCTGGAGGTTATGAACGATTCAAATCGAGCTGTTTTTCTTTGAAACGCAAAACCAACTTGATTGGTATGAGCTGTTTGATGGTTCATAGATCCCCCATGCGATTTTCGACTTACTAAGGGCAATGACTTCATTGTGGATTCCTGGTGGGATAGGTGGTTGACAATGGACCCAGGGAGTATGCTCTATAGTCAGAATGATAACGGGCAGGAATAGTCATCGCGGAAGCGCCCTTTCTCGGTCTCATCCACGCTAGCGCTGACTTGTTGAGAGATAAAATATGGGCCGCTAATTTTCGCTCTTTGGGCCATAGGAATAGATTTTGGAATATACTGAGTTTGTCGATGCGTTCTGCAGTGAGCCGGGTGCCCAAAACGAAATCTGGAGGGTTCGGAGAGACTGTGGGAAGGGATAGAAGGGGGTCTTTAGGGAAATGACAAATGATTCAAGCATGGGCCGGCATGGTAGTTGTCACAGGATTGATTTGATTAGTGACTTTCTTGTAAGCGAGAACTTGATGAATGGGATCATAGTCAAAAGCTTCCTGTAGCAGGGATTCTGCAAGAGGGCTGGCTGATATGTGTGAGACTGTGGGAGGGGAAATCGAAGCTGTTGACGTGCTACTAAGGGCTGCTGCTGTGACCATAAGTGTATTCAAGTGAGGTGGAGGACAAGGGAATGTAGCACAGGTTCGAACTCGCGTGATATCTGTGGGATCATGGACAGTAACATAGACCATGTCAGCCATCTCCAATTCGATAATCAAACAAGCTTTTGCCACGAGTGCCCTAAAAGGCAAGCGGTACAGTGCATCAGCTATAACATAAGCATGCGCCCACATTTTGATGCCTTCAATGTCGATTTTGAGCATCTCAAGACACCCAGACATGTCCTGAGAGCCTCCATTTGCAGTCTGCATGTGCTGTCCTGCATGATTTGGGAATCATGCATGGACATGACTACTAGGTATCCCCCTAAAAGACAAAGTCTGTTAGCTTAGTCCTCAGACTAGTCAACCCATACCTTGGTATCAAACCTTGGTCCAATAGTTTCAGTTTTCCCTCAGTGATTCATGAATCCACCATGTTTTGAAGAAAAGTCATATGTGAGATGGGAATCACATAATGACCTAGTTGATATGAGAAGCAAAATGAAGGTTAAGGTATTGCCTTTCCTTTGGCTTATTCACTTTGGCTAGAGAAACCCATAGAGAAAAGTTCAAAGCCTAACAAAAACCTATCTAAAAAGCCCGTGTATTGTGTACTATTATTTGTTCCATTATTTCTGAGTTGTTTTCTCTAGTGTTTCTTTACTTTACTTTTCTATTAGGATGCTCTGACTAATCAGATGCTTCATAAAATTGTACCTACAGGGTATGATGTCATAATGATGTCATAGGACTTCACCTACACTCCTGCAGGTATTTTGTTGAAAGATATGATATCATGGTGATGTCATAATGATGTCATGTTCCATGGAATTTGCTAGAACATTCCAATGACTCAGAATGATGTCATTATCCCACCATGAATATTCTGGAATGTTCTTTTGCACCTGCTAGAACATTCTGCTCCAGTTTTTGGGATATTCTTCTCACATTCTGAAGTCATTACATCACCTTTTTACTTACATAATATTCCCACACAAAATGTATATAAGGAGAGCCCATTCTCCCCCAAAAAAATAGATCTCCCACTTGTTGCATTCAAGAACTCCCACTTGAGCAAATTGAACTCTCACCTAAGAAGCTTCAGTCTGAACAAATTGCTGCTTACAAAGCACATTTCCTTTGTAAGAACTGTCCAGACAAGTGCAGGAAAAGTGTTTCCCTTGAGATTACATAAGTTTCTCGCGATAGAAACCCAGTTTTGTGAGACCAGTGTTCTCACCACATAGTGTTTACTGACCAACACGAGCTTTGGTCACCATTGTTATTTGTGAGACCAGTGTTCTCACCAGGTATTTGTATATTGACCAACACGAGCTTTGGTCAACATAGTCACATTTGAGACCAGCTTCTCAACAGTTAATCGTATATTCAGGAAACCAGTTCAAGTGTCTAGACGGTATATCCTAGACAATCCCATAGTTTCAATCAGAGATAATAAAGCTCCGGCTAAGTTAATCTAACTGATTGGTTTAGCGAGCCTCCCAAGAACTCACACGTTATCTACCACGAAAGAAGAAAAGTCGTAGACCATGTTAATTGAGGACTGGCAAGAAGTCTTATCCAGTGTAATTGTGGTGTCATTACATTCTTACACGTATTTATATAAGACCCTCGGTTATTAAGACAACACAATCTACTCCTAGACTTCCTATGCAGCTGCACAGGATCCTATTCAGGTTCTGCATTAGCAAACTATGCAGCGGGACTAAGAGCATGGCACCTTTTACACGGGAGAGAGTGGTTGATCCCGCCCAAAGAGTTAAAGGCAGTACTAGACGGGGCAACTGCTTCAGCTCCAGCGAGTTCCAAACAACCAAAACGGTTACCTTTCACCCCGAACTCTTTAGCTGCCATCCAGGACCAACTCGACCTGAACTCACCGCTCAATGCAGCCATATTCGCTTGCCTAACCACAATGTTCTATGCGTAGCGAGACTGGGAGAATTAACAGTAAAAGCCATCAGAGATTACAATCCCAAAAAGCACGTACCAAGAAATGGATTATCAATAACCACAGATCGCCAAGGACTAGTAGTAACAAAATTCCATCTATCCAGCACCAAAGTCTCCCCGATCGAATGGGAAACAGTCTACTGGGCCACACAAGAAGGGCCTACAGACCCAAAGGCAGTATTAGATGACCATTTTCGAGTAAACCCAGCCAGTGAAACAGTGCACCTATTCGCCTGGAAACACGCCAAAGGCATGCGACCGCTATCCAAAAAAGAACTCATCAAGAGATTAGCCACAGTAACAGCAGCAGCCAAACTCCCAGACCTGAAGGGCCATGGTTTGCGCATCGGAGGGACATTAGAATATCTCTTGCGTGGAGTTCCTTTTGACGTAGTCAAAATGATGGGAAGGTGGTCTAGTGAAGTGTTCACTATATATCTGCAAGAACATGCAATGGTACTCACACCTTATATCCAAGTGTCTCCAGCGCTAGAGCCCTTCACACGCTACACAATGCTGCCAGTCCGCTAACAATTCGCCAGTAAGTCCACCTCCTAACACTACGGGCACAAAGCTTCGCTGTCTGTGTCGCCGAACTCCTAATCTTTGGGTACACAGCTCACCTTTTCACCATAGGATGGACCCGTTGTGAAAGAGAAATAGCGACTAGACTGGTTAGAAACTAGCGCTACTTATCCAAATAGGCGCGAGTGTAGTATTTGACCCAAGAG